GAGCGATCCAGCTCAACCTCTACCGCTTTTAGGGAGCCAAATTCGTAGTCAGTTGTGGCAAACTTCTGCCCCAAAACCTTGTGGCCGTAGTAAGTCGGTTCATGACGAAGGAAGGAGAAGTGAAGCTTACAGGTCTCGCCTTGGAAGCATAAACACATTGGGCATTCCTTACCAAACAACACTACCTGCTAGATTGCCTAAGAAAACGATACCCACGTACTCCGAAGCTACAAGACAAGTTCGAATCGGGACTCGGAACAGACCGGAAGCCATTTCGACCGTACCGCTCGATAGAGTGAAAGTTACCTCACAACCAAGTAGTCCTTTTAAAAAAGCTATAATTCCAGTTTACAGCAAGGTTTGCAAACAGAAGAAGACAAAAAAGCCAAATCTCAAGTGCGATGGCACTTACTCCAAGCTTCTTGGAAACGGCGTGGGGCCTCAAGCATCTTACTCTAGCACAGGAACTACAGAAGTTGAAGATCAGAACGTAAATGTTGACTCGGTCGACGGTGCTCCAGCGCTTAACAAAAATGCAAAAGCGGAAAATAAATCTTTGGTTGGATGCAGTAATTCTGAGGGTGGATTGATATCGATGGATGGTTACACAAGCCCGTTGTACGAAGAATTACTTCAGCTTCACGATGAAGAAGATGATGGCAATGGCCAATACAGTATTGAAGTGCGCATAGATTATTCCAAGGGAACCAAGTACAAAGTTGAGAAGCGCCGTCGACCTCTGGCTGAAACCGATAGTGATAACAATAACAACAAGAACAGTGAGAAACAAAATTGTAGGACTTCTGCTAAAGAGAATGTTGGTGTCGCTCAAAATGATACGAGCGTGAACAGTGAGAAGCTCAAGCAGTTTCGAAAAGATAAGAAAAGTTCTATGGGAAAGAAGCTTAGGAGCAACAGCGATGCCATCGGATTCAAGAACGCACAAATTCTAAGCAAATTTAGAACAATGTCAATCTGCTGTTGTGGGTGAGTTCAATCTTATATTTAGATGAGTTATTCATAAGTATTCCATTCAATAATTACTTTGTTGGCTGGTTTAAAGGGTATTTGATCTGGAATTTATGCAGAAATTATACATAGTTGATTAATAGTGCCTGGTATCCGGCAGTGCTGCATGCGCCAAATTTTTACAAAATCCATGCACATTGGATGTGAAAATTCTTTGTTTATATATGATGTAATAATGTATTCCTGTAGCTGAAATTGAACACTTTAATACAGATGAGCCATAGGTGCAAGAAATTCAATTTTCCGTTTGCTGCAGTTGTGTTTTAAAGTGATGCTGTAACATTGACCTCGTGTCGAAGACTGATTATTTTTCGTATTTATTTTAATGATAGATCACCAACCTAAAATAATTACACTATCGAATCTCATTGAACAAATATTTTGTGCCTGCCAGTGAGTGTTATCGCAGCGCGGTTGTAAATTTGCTCACGTGCTATGGCGTTTAATTCTGAATTTTCTTCGGTCACGGGCTCAAGTGTCGCCAATAATTGCGGAATTTTTTATACTTATGGTACCATCACGGATGCACCGCAAATATGTACGTTGCATTTTATTCGGACTAATATTTGTTGTATTTTTCTGTTCGATTAGCAGCGAAATATTGAAACCTTATTTAATTAATGGATGATGGAAGCCAATAAAATTTGACGGGCTGAATCCTTTTGAACGAATTTATGTGCTAGTTCCGTAAAAAAATAAGCTACTAGTACATTGGTTGATTAATGAAGCCAGCAAGTTCCAGATACTTTTTTTCATTTTTTTGTTTTTTGTTTTGCTGCATGAGAACGAGTTACACAAAGTAATGCCTAGCGAGAACATCAAGGTAGGCTGTGTGTGTGTGCGGCGCGCCCATGGCGGTGGCCTGGACGTTTTAGCTTCGTCCTGGAACACCCACGGCGCTACGGCAGCTTCTTTTTCTGCTGCTCCGAGTCCTTTTCCTTGAAATGCTTTGCTACTCTTCAATGGGAGTCTAAAACACACGCAATATCAATTCCTGGGCTTGATGCATGGGCTGTACTGAACATATTTTTAGATATATTGCAAGGTAATTATAGTTTCTATCACTAGTATTCCCTGCTCATAATCCTTTAGTTTTAACTGAAAGAACGTAATATTGACATTTACAGGACTAATTTCGTTAATCAAATTACATGGAGGAGTTTTGCTCCGAGCTCTGGCAGGTGCTCCAAGTAGTAACCAACTCCGTGCAGTATACCTTGGCATTTACTGTGATTTTTAAATCAGGTGTTAGAATGCGAGTGTCAGACAAATTAATTGATCAAACATTATTTTATTTGTTCAATTTTACTGGATTAAAAATTAAAGAAGACACGGCTTTCAGTTCGACGTAATTTGAGAGAAAATAGATTCGTTTCTCAATGAGTTTGAATTTTTTTCTATTACCCTCTGTGTGAATCTGATTTTTTTAAAGTAATTTCAGTTACGTCGTTAATCATTTCAATTTATCAAGATAACGTCTTAAATTAGCAATAATTGGAGGCCAAGTAGCCTAATTCTATTAGATCCTATACAGCCGGCTGAATCGATGAATGAAGTTTCATATCTGGTTGCGAAGTTCCAATTGAACTCCGATTAGCTTTTTCATGATATTTTTCCTGCACACATCTGCTTTCATTATTACCTTCATATATTATCTAATCTGATAGATGTTCATATTTTGCATGTGTTGTAATCAGCCTAGCCAGTGGTTGACCGTTTACAGTTGAGTTATAAGGTCAAACTTCGGTTCCAATATCCTATTAAAAATTGTTAGTCCATTCGGAACAAAGGAAAAAAGAGCAATGCTAGTTCTGGATAATTTGCGGGCTTGATTTTACAATGTACTATCTTTTTATTTGTGCAAAAGCTACTTGTCACAGCCTACTTCAAATCCAAGGGACAATTTTCCTGCATACTCTCATTGCGTTAACTCCCTAATCCATGGACTATAATATTGCATGCTGTCACAGAGCTAACAACTAATCCGTGGGCAAGTTTCTTGCATGCTTTCAAAGTGCTAACTCATAATCCGAAGAAAATTTTCTCGCATGATGATTGCACGGTACAAGGTAATTCGCCATCTACCGCGGCCATTTCCATGCTCGTGATACAGGAAGGTTTCATTCGCCGAGACTAATTTCCCCGTCTCCTGCAATTCCCTGAATCCTCGTGATTTTTCATTGGCTTCAAGTGAAGACGGTTGCAAATGGAAGGTCATTTCGATTGCAGATTGACGTAATTCATCTGATGGCTTCCGATACGGAGGTTTTGGCCTGAAGCGCGTAACTTCAGTTCACAGCGAACTCTGCTTACTACAGTAGTGATTGTAATTATTTTGATTATATCAACTGCAAGAATCACGAGCAACTGTATGATATTATTTGTATACCCTCCGAATTTAGCTTTTTTCAGTGAAAGATAGTACAGCTTACAACCGTCAACGATCTAATTTTTATTAATTACATTTGCGGTGCATGTATTCATTTGATTCAATTTTGCTTTCATTAGACAAGTGAAGTTTCCACTAGTCGCATCAACATGTTCCAATAATCACAAAATTTAAAACTGTTTAAAGGATATATTTAATAAACATAATACAATGATAATACGAATTCGATCACTACCACTTTATTCTGTATATTACATATTTTTGTCATACTTAAAAATATTTTTGAGACCATTAATTCTGCTGTTGGTAATCTTAAGTCGTTATGATATTCTCATCTATAGATTTTATTTACACGATGTATTTCTCAATTGATTCTTATTTTGAAATTATTGATAAATGAGCATGTGTCGTGTAGCGTGTAGCTAATTTGAATTCTGAATGATCTAGTATCCTATGATTTTAAAAATATGGGAGAACGGGTAGATGTAATTTTTTCTCCTGCCTGTCGTTAATTTTCGACGAGTTGGAGCGTGAATAGAAAAATTATGCCCTCGGGAATTGACCTCTGATGTGACATCCTGTCTCACCACTTAGTGTCAACCACCTAACTGACCTATACCCCTGAAGGTTCACATACATTTTGAATTCGCCATCTACATCAATTTGAACTTTTTGAACCTTCTGATGCAGGACGAACTTCGTAGGAATCTGCACTAATTTGAAATTATGGATTGATCTCTATACTCTCATTGCCCTTCATTTATGGCCTTGTAATTTGGTTTTGTTTTGCTACTGACGGCGTAAATACTCGTGTCCATAGTTGTCGTTGCTCAGCAGTAAATATACGAATGCACGCACATGATAAACAAGGGAAAATTATGCGCAAATGACTGCCTCAATTGAATGAATCGGCCCATCTCATTTCGGGACGAGAGATTCGCAACTTGTTTATTTTATTTTATTTCACCGCTGCTCTTCATGTTATAAATTGTGCGTTGTTTATGGGAAACATTTTCTTCCTTAATCCTCTGTTGCTACCTGCTTAAAAATTTGTAGTCGTCGTGCTTCACTTCTCAATTAAGGAGGAGAACATAGAACCATTTTTAGCCCAGATGATCTCGCTATGCTGGTATATATGCTACTTTTATCTTGCTGCAGCGTAATAGTGAGACTTTCTAGATCATTGTTAACTATTTTGATTTGTAATTACGTTTTTTTTTATTTCAAGGAAAACACAAGAGTTACATTTGTTGTTAAATACTTTACTTAGAAACATCCTTTTCTTACACTAAATTGTTCAGCAATAACTCTGCATAATCATGCATAGTTTCTTACTGAAAACTTATTAACAATCATGATTATTATTGACCTCGAGGACTCTGTGCTCGAAAGTAAAGCAAAGTATGCCGCAAGTGAGCTTTTAGTCTTTTCTGCGAAATTCAGAGTAAAAAGAGTACATTTTCTCCAGCAGATATGCCGAAGTTACCATATTTCATTTATTAAATTTTTATCTTAAATTCTCCAGCAGATATGCCGAAGTTTCTAGTTTAATTCATTAAATTTTAATATTAATTTTTTTCAGAAACGTGAAGCGTTACGTACACCAGCCCGGCCGCATTGAGGACTACATCCCAGGACGCTCCTCCCTCTCTGAGAAGGAACTTCGTGCCGTGAGTTTCGGATGAATTTTTGATATTCATGAAGATTTCAAGATTTAGTTTTTAGTTCTTTAAGCTTGATCAATTCATGCTATTATTCTATATCGTTTTTCAATAGTTTGTAGTAATTCTGCCCTGAGTTTTTCAAGTTATTTATTGTTTTGTTGAATGCTATTTGAAAGCATATTAGATATTTATTTTTATTTACGCAACCCAAAGTAATTAAATAAATGGAGCACATGTGCGGGTAATTTCGAGAATTCCTTTTGTAAGATTTTACTTGTATAAAGGTCAGCCTATGCTCTTTTGTGTATTACATTTGTGAATGCATACATTTTATTCAATTCATAATGCAGCTAGTCCCAAAAATAACGAAGAAGCTTTTGTTTCAAACAATTTCTTGCGTGTTGGGTAATTTTTTTGCAGCTCAAGAATTACAATGACTTCATCCATTATCAAAAATTTCATTTCATTTGTCTGGTTTATTTATCAAGTTGAGGTTTGATGAACTTATACTCAACTTACTGGGCACACGAGTTCAAATCAACTCAATTTTTGTTCGATAATTTAGAGAGGAACAAGATTTATTTAGAGGAACATTTAGAGGAACAAAACGAACAGGTGTTGCACTCGCATAGTTCCCATCGATGCAAAATATGCTCTTCCCGTACACCGTGAAATTTAGTTAATAGTGTTAGAATTATTAACGTAGGTTCTCTTCTTGAGAAACTTCGCCTAAGTCATTTCCTACGACGCTTTCGAGAAATTTTCGCTCCTGATTTTGAACATTTTATATTTTTTTCATTCTCTGTTCAAAATCATTCATGAGCGTTTGATTTGATACACTTCTAAATGAATATATGTTTTTTAATTTACAAATTTTCAATTTACGTACTTATAATTTTTTCTCAGATATGTTCGTCATATAATGGCCTGCTATTCAGTAGCACTGCACCATGCAAGCTTGCATTCGTTGAATATTGTATTTAAATTCATTTGTACATACAAATAAATTGTAATTTTTATCCGATTAAAAATGGCTCCGGCAAACTTGATGCTTGAATAAGAAGTTTTCAAAATACTTCTATTTTTCCTCGAATTATTTGATGAAATATAGTTTGGTGTGGTGATTTAACTAGTTATGATTAGCATTTTGTTGCATATGTGCAATACACAGTTCAAAAGATTTTGCTCAAAATCTACATACATAGACTATGAAGTATATTTCCAGTACTGCAAATTACACTACGAGGCGATAAATATGATATCAGGTGTTGCGTAGCTTCAAAACTTACCGGAGTTCAAGTGGGCACAAATGTTCCATGGTCATCCAGATTCCCACTAATGACAAAATTTAATTAGTTGAATGCTTCAAATGTTGAATATTTTAAAAAGTCAATGCTGAAGTTGAATGCTTCAAATGTCAAAAATTTTAAATCATTTAAAATTATCGAGACAAATTATTGTCTTCTTTCGCTGATTACCTGCCATGACTTGACAATCGTGAATTAATCGTAACATATTTATCCGTTGAATAATTTGTTCACCGATTTGCATGCGCATCAACAATGTGGCTAACCCTTGACCGGTAACTATAGCTAGGGTATCCATGATGCACGTCAGGTCTCTCGGCGCTGACTCGGCAACAAAGACCTGCGATGTTGAGTCGAGGTCAACCACCGCAGTGCTCGGAACCTGTCACATGACTCGGGTTCCCGTGAGAACAAAGTCATTTTCATAAGTAAAAAGTTGTACAGATCGCTGGTTCGGCTCTTATAGGGATGGAATTGGAATTATCTTCTTTTGAAGGGATCGGGAGACGCAAATTGAACGAATTCATTTACCGTCAGCTCATTCATTCGAACGTATTCATTTACCGTCGAGAAAAATTTATCGGTAAAATTTAGTTTTTCTAGAAAGCCTGAGATTTGTAATTTGAAGCAGCTACAAACAGAAAAATGCATAGATCATACAGAAATATTTTTTGCTATTTTCAGCATAAATAAATTTTGTTTCGAGAATTTTTCTTATCATATTATCGTATTGCTGAGCAAACTCTCATTCACCTTTTCTTCTCCCACCCAGAATCCAGAAGTGGAGTATAAACTCGAGGTTTGTGCACTCCATTCTTGAGTTTACCTGTTTTCTTAATGTTAAATATTGTTCTAAATCTTGAATGATCGCTTCGATTTATTCTATACATGATTGGCATGATTTGAAAGCGGTTAAGCATGAATAAGCTAAATTTACAAAAATTAACCTGCAATTTTTCCTCTAGCCGTGCGTATAAATATTCGAAAATATTAAATTTATAGTTTAAGTTTGTCTACGCATATCACAATATTTATTGTGTTATACTAATATCATATCCTAATTACTATAACATCTCTGATTAGCATCCTCGAAAATAATTTTTAATATCCCAAGCTATGCGAAGACTTCGAATCTCACACTAGTCCAATCTACGGGCATTTTCTTCAATTTAGGATCAACTTTTAAAATTCACTTCCTATAAGACCTGACCTAACGGAGAACTCAAATATGAATGTAAAAAATATGTTGCTGAACTTGAAATTGAAATAAATAAATAAATTCCGAAGAAGTATAAATATTTTGTTGTAAAATAAAGTCCTGTTGTTTTGTGAAACGTTTCGTACCTCTGAAACTGCACAGTATCACGGGGATATAAATACTCATGCTCTGAATGAAGCAACTACTTGAATGTCATTTAATAACAATGATTTCTCTAAAACTTTACAACAATTATCCCAAGTAATTCAAGTTATTTTCATTTCATTCATCATTCAGTTATTAACACTAAAAACTCATCTTGGCATTTCATAGTGACGTTAGATTTAAGCGAGGCAATAATCGTGTAAATAGTTTAATTTATATCATGTAAATAGCGACATTCTACGTCTCCAACCTCACTGAAATTCTGCTGATCCAATCTTTGCTCTTGTATAGCGCGTCCAATTAATGATCATGTGTATGCGTTAATATTCAATAGATACAACCGGAGAATTGAAACTCATCTCTAGCATAGCAGATTTTTGCTTAACTTCTTTAATCACGGTGACACAAAGTAACGATTTCCAAGATTCATGTCATTATTTCATGGGTGATCATAATTGCACTTGGTATTGAACAAGTTGATAGCAACCGACCATCATTATCGAATTCGATTATTGGATTATTATTTCTTGGAAATTATTAATAATTCATCAGGCATACCTGACATTTTTTGCCTATTTACCAGAGTTTTTTTTTGGGTGCGGAAGAAAATTCATGTCTGCACTGTTTGAAAGAGGGGATTTGGTTTCTTTGAATGATAATCTCAATCTATCGTTTGAGGTTGCCGGTTTTAATTTCATATTTCATCTTTGTTAAATCTAATTCTTGAATTCGTTCTTCATTCATTCACTTGGTTTCATGTTTCTCAAAAAACATAATGATTGGCTATATTCACTGGGGCTTCGACTATGGCATACTTTGGGATTCTTAGGAAGTTTTTATGTGTGCCTTCGTTCTTTTTATTGCATGATTCTCAAATTTAAGAAGAAATATTTAACTGTGTGTTTGTATAACTTGATATTAATTTTTTTGCAAATAACAAATATTTGTAATTAAAATATCCCCGATGAACGATTTGCGATCGATGTCTAATTGACTAACCTACGTAACTGCTTCATTTTTGTGTAGAAATTTTCATAAATAAGAATGATGTGTCATATTAGCTCTTAAAGATTACAAATATAAGCGCTGGATTTGATTAGCATTTTGCGCTAATGTTGAGCCAGTTTGCCAATGCTGTAAAAAATTTTCTTCCACTAAAAATATCGTTAAAAATATCTTGTTCGTGCAATTTATGCAAGCGTATATCTCGCCGATAACTCTTTTTAAGGAGATGTGGATCGATAGTTAATTAAAACCTTTTGTATCATTTAATTATCATCGAACATATTATCAGGAGTATCAGTACATTTACAAGTTCCACAGGTATTTCATATATTGTATCTGAGTTCTTTTGGCTCATAGGCTTTCGTTTTTCCAGATTTATTTCTCAAATTCAACAGAGAGAACTGATTTAATTCAATGCTATTATAATCATAAAAATCATTTAGTTACTTAATTTATTCACTTTTCATTGCACAAATCAAATAAATTTAAAGTTGAATGGATTCCGATTTCCAAAATTTTCATATTACTTCTCCCATTTATTTAATATCCAATTAATCACGTAGGCCTTTCCTTTTGAAAAATTTCCTTCAGGCAAATAAAATTTAATCCTATATAATATTTTAATTATTATGAATTTGAATTATATTATTATTTGAGTTATTATGATATTAATAGTTAAATCCTGCCAACAGTCCCGCGACCAAGATCCTCCTAGGGGCTCGAGCAATCACCGCTACAACCCTGCGCGCATGCAGATGTCCCAGTGAGTTCACGAGTCACTCATCCACGGTAGCGCCTATTTGTAACTCATCCATGAATAAACTAATTTTATTCACTCATCCACGGTAGCGCTTATTTGTAACTCATCCACGAATAAACTAATTTTATTCACTCATACACGATAGCGCTTATTTGTAACTCATCCACGAATAAACTAATTTTACTCACTCATCCACGGTATCGCTTATTTGTAACTCATCCACGACTAAACTAATTTTACTCACTCATGCACGGTATCGCTTATTTGTAACTCATCCACGAATAAACTAATTTTACTCACTCATGCACGGTATCGCTTATTTGTAACTCATCCACGAATAAACTAATTTTACTCACTCATCCACGGTAGCGCTTATTTGTAACTCATCCATGAATAAACTAATTTTACTCACTCATCCACGGTAGCACTCGTTTGTAACTCGTATACGATAGGATAAGAAGTAAACATAACAAGTTTACCGCAACACTAGGATTATTCAAGAAATAGGTTCATAATGTTTGCAACTAAGACTCTATCATTCGTCGTTTATTGCATTATATATTCTATCTTTAAACTTTGTCGTGGACGCCATTACTTATGATGTTTATGGATATAACCATTGTTGACATGAGCGATTTTGTGTGCAGTGCGCTCAAGGAGGGAGGCTACGAGAGCGACAGCACGCTAGTGTTCCGCAAGCAGAGCGAGAGGCGTCCGGAAAACCGCAACATCAGCGAGGTGTACAGACAGGTAAGCCTGAGCCGCACACCTGTCGTTCATGTATCTAGGGCTTGTTCTCTGCACTTATATTTTAACTGTAGTTGTTAACTGCGAGACCTTTTACTCTTAATTGATTACAAACACGCTGAATTTTATTCGATATTTATTTAATTACCACACCGTTTGATTATTAAAAAAACTGTATTTCAAATGCAAGTTTATTCTATTGCGGAATAGATCAGTATCAAAATTAATTAATCTGATGGGTCACGTCTTTTACTTGCCCTGCTATATGTAAGCAACTCAACCGAGAAATTTTCAATTTGTAATCTATATTTTGTAGAATTGAGAATTATTGAAAAAATTTCCCTGGTTCACTTGATATGTATGCTCAATCAGCCTCTTTTTTATTTAGATTCAGCGAGGCGGTGAAGTTCCCCTTGAAGGCCTAAGGAAAGCTGCTCCACGCAAGCCTAAAGGTAAAAGTTTAATGCTTTTATAGGGTTATGTACAATAATTTGTAGAGGTTTTATAGTTGTGCGTCCCTTCTTAATTAAACGCGCTGTTTGAACTTGGAATCGTGGAGATCAAACCCACGATTCCCACTCAAAATATGGTTTCCGTAATAATCCAACTAGTTCATGGCAACAATATTAGCTAACAAAATTGTGTATTTTAAATGTTTTTGTTATTATATTGCAATCCTAATTAAATAGAGTTTAACAAATGAATTCAACACATTCCAGGTGATCATTGCTTTCTAATTCTTTTAAAGCTATTACCGGGAGAGTTTTTTAAACGTACTCTCCGATGTTATTGTGTCTCGACGTTTTGTTTTCTAATTATAATTGTTCTGAAGTTCACGGACATAAATCATAGACTTGTTGTTAGTATAAATTGTTTTACTACTATTTATTCTTTCTTGTTTATAATGAGTCAATTATATATTATTTTGCATTACCTAAAGGAAAATCAGCAATGGAACAAAATAATAACTACTTGTTGCTTAGTATATTTCAAAACATTAAATATTTTATTGTTTCACTTCTGAACCTTAATATCGTTCTTTTGCTTCGTTTCCTGCATTAAAACCGTTACCGCACACGCAAGCTTATTTATCTAATCCTTGATATATACTTCTCATTTTTCACGTTCGACAGCATGCACTTTTGAATTTAGAGAAATAATTTTCCATCTATCACGTGTTTTATAAACCAGCACCTAACTCCACTCTAAATCTTTCTTCTCTGTATTTTCTACTAGTCTTGTCTAAAATATATTGGGAACCTTCTTAGCATGATGTTATCTTTGCTTAGTGGATGAAGACTTCAAATTGCCAAAATTAACTTTAAAAAATATGTCCCTTAGATTTACTGAAATTCTATGCACCTGGACAGGATCTTTGGCTTCTAAGGTCTTTAAAAAACTTGAGAACGAAGCTTCATCAGGAGCCAGTGATGGAATGAAAATTTCTTATATTTCTATCTTCTTATTCTTTATACGCACGACTTCGTTAACGTTTACTGACCCTTTGTCTACGAGTACATCAATCTCCTTCAACGAGGTTTCCATCTGAAGGAATGTGACTAGAGTTACCGTCAGCGGTGAGGGGGTTTAACAAAAATGACTCACGAGTACAGTGGCAAAACGACTCAGATCTTGTCGCCTAACCATGACGGGAACTTATCGAAATTCATAAAATAAGTATATTTTGTTCATTGAATTCTACAAAAAAAATGAATTTTTATGACTTATGATTCTATAGTGTTTGGATTAATATGTTAAGAATTACTCAGGTATTACTTAACATCGTTACAAATTATCGCAGTATGTATTTTAGGATTGACTAAATCAGTGGGGCATGCATAAGTAGACTTGAGGTCTATTAACGTCTAGCTCTATCTTCATTCCAGAGAAACATTTTCTAAATGAACGTCTCTACGAACTTCTTATGGAGATCTTGGTGTATTTACTATATGTTTTTCTCTGATTCGGTGTTTATGTGTTATTTACATATACTCTGCGTTTTACTAATCTGAATTCCGAATTGGTCTCACCCGACGCACTCCGAATTTATCCTTTTTCCTGGTAACGTATTTACAATCTGCACCCCGCTGATGTTATTTTATTCTTTACTCAGAAACTCATTTATTGATCAAAATATTTAATTCAGCTTAAATTATTGTGAAAAACAACACTTTCAATGATAGTTCTCAATTATCATATTGTTGGAAAAAAAATCGGAAATTTCTGTGAGTAAAATGAAAGTTTGCAGGTCAGTTGAGGTTGTGTAGATCTAGACCCTAGATGTAAATGTTGCACTATTGCACTTACTGTAGCGTGCTTGAAAAATGTGTGGGTCAACTAACTCGATTTGAATCCGCTTATGAAGCACTGGCATGGAAAGCACTACATCACCGCAGGCGAGATGGAAGATTTCATAGGAGCTTTACTAAACTTGAACGGCACTTCACTGACTCAGACAAACTGGACAGTTATTTCTGGGATGATGGCATGGGGACTTCCGAGCAAACCGCCCTTGTATGCAGCTTGGGAGACTGAACTGATCGCACCTCATCGAACTTCGCACAATTGATTTTGCACTGCACTGGTGATGTATTCTGCATCAAGGGAACAAACTTAAAACACGTTTTGTGTTACAGATGATTTCTTCGTAGTCTACTCCGACCTTGATCTTGGCCTTAGTCATCCTGCCTTGAGTGACTTGTCCGCAGCAACTCGTGCATTTTCTTCACCAGCGCTGTCTGCAGTCCAATCCACCTCTGAAGTTTCAAACGCACCGTCGTCTGATAATCCTAAATCAACAACTGAAAGTTCTTCGGAAGAAAGGTCCAGTCAAAATTGTTCTAGTTTTTCAGTCGGTGACGAGGCAGAAGACATGTCGTCCAAACCCAAAGTCTCCACAAATGCAAAGATATCTCCGGCGAGTCCCAATGCTCCTCGTCGGGTTTCTTCAAAATGGCATCCGTCGTTGATCAAAATCACGAAAGATAAACCTCCAGCTGCAAACATTCGTTCTGTGTCTGCCGAGCGGGTGAGAGCAACTAGGGCCCTTTATTCTTCATGGCATCGTGAAATGGTGACCAAGTCGAAAGATAAGTTATCTCCTGGAAGAGCAACATTGCACGCTCCTCGAACTAGAGCGTCTCCATCATCGACTACACCAAAAACTTTCCTCTTGGGCAGAAGAGCAGTTTCTGAGTCGCGATTCACGATTCAAGACAGAGAATTGTCTCCCTCTCCTGGAAGCAATGACAATACTTCCGCATTGGATAAAACCCGAAAGTTGACTTCTGTGAATCGATCAAATTCTATTAATGTAAAATCAATTGAGCCTAAAATAAGAGAGAAATCCTGCCTGCTAACTAGTGCATCACCGCCTCGGAGGCTTTTGTCTCCAAGGAGTGACTCGCCTCGGCGCAATTCATCTCCTGTTTCTGAACTTGGCCGTCCACCTTTGTCACGACACACTGTGAGCAGTAAAATAAAAACCAAGTCATATCAAGAGAAATCTGGTAGCAGTACTTTGGGAATGCGTAGTCGCAGTGCTGAACATCCAGGCTCAGCGAGGATTGCAAGACACAGTTGCTGCATCGCATCAACGGAAAAAGATTCTCATTCCAAGACGCTTCCAGGAACAAACAAAACTAAAATTTTGAATCGACGTGCTCATCCAACCGATTCTAAGCGCCTACGTCAAAGTGAGAGTTTTGACACAACACATAGCAACGAAACTGGGTATTCAAGTATGTTGGATTTATCACCTTCCCCATCGCCGGATAATCTTCACTTCGCTTCGCCTATCGGTCGATCAAGCAAAAATGCGAAGACGTTTGAGCGCAGAAATCAGTCTACAAGTGTGAATTTTCCATCATCTTACTTCAGGAGGACTCTAACATCTGCCGATTACGCTGAGCGTCGTGCAAAATGGGAGACGTTATCTAGAAGTGAACCGAAGAAGCGTTTTCGTTCCATCAGTCCACCAAAAAGTCTCATTCCTCTTCGGTCCACAAGTCTGGTGAGGCAAGCCAGTAGTGCGATGAAGAAAAATCAGTCAAAACTTACCGAAGAACAACCTCGTCGTTCGCGAAGCTTGGAAGTTGTCAGCTCATCTCCATATATTTCTCCTGAAAAATACCGGCAATATATTCTCGAAGTGCGATTGGCAGCTCCTCAAAATGTCAGAGTTTCTAATTTAAGACGGCTGTTCTCATCGCTCGATCGCGTCCAACATTTGGAAAGGTCAATAAGCTCCACTGACTTGTCTTTACTTGAACGAAAAGCCAGTTATCTTCTTGGATTCGAGGCATGGAAAAAACTGAAAGATAACGAACGTAAGGCTCTCGAATACAAGCTCTTGATAAATGAACTTGACGTTGCTCAATCAAACAAAGACTTCCTTTACTGCGTTTCTCCCGAAAGAAAGTGGATAGGTGACTCATTTCTGCGAGGAAAGAACAAAAGTGTTCAAGAAATTCGCCGAAAATTCTTGGAACAAAATACATCGCCTGAACGTTTTGAACAAAGATCCAAAACGGATTTCATTTACTCCTCTGGAGTGTATAAAGGGCTTTGGAGAGGTGAGTCGGTGAAAGAGTGCGCCAGAAATATTATCAGCAAGCAGCATCCTTCCGAGTTAAAAACAAAACTCAACAGGGATTCAATTGAACGGCGATCCATGGGACTTTGGACTAGTCTGAGTTTAGAACAAGTCAACGCGTTAAAAGATCAGTTAAATGATATTTATGGATCCATGCATAACGTCCAATCATGGAAAGAAAGAAAGAAACTCAGTCGCAGTCGGAGTCAAAAAGAAAGAGGTGAGACTAATCGAGAAACGCACGAGACCGTCAACATTGCTGCTACAGGTCGGTTGCTGACTGAAAAATTTGCCAAACGGGCTGCGCGACCAGCCTCCGCCGACTGTTCACTTCTTACTAGCCCCGAACTGGTGCCTAGTAGCCTCTCCAAACTGACCAATATTGAAGCCGAACGTAAGAAACTGTCAAAGCAACTTTCACTAGAGCTGAAAGAAAAGGTTAATGAACAACGGAAGGGTGCCGACACTAACATAAATCGTGTACTTGCCAATCATGGTAGCAGACGTACTCCCTCCATTAGTCCGGACAGCACATCAAGAATGTCTCCAAGGACTTGTTATTCATTGGATATTTCGGATTCATCTCAGCCTTCATCTTTAACTTCTCACGCAGACGATCAGTTCTTCCTCCTTCTTCAAAAGCCATTGAGAAGCCGCAGCTTACCACCCGATTTGAATGACGAGGACGGAGAATCAAGTGATTCTGACGTGTCCGTTCGAACTGTGATTCACAAAGACGTCGCTGGAAAAGTTAAGTTTTTTGAGAAAAGAGCCCGGAAGCAGTCGAGATCTTCTGAGCGCTACTCCTCGGTTAACAATAGGTTGAGCCTGCCTTCGGAGCCAGATCTGTGTCGCTTCTCAGCAACACTTCCTGCATCCTACAAAAAACGTCAATCTGCTCCCACCTTGTCTTCTCATGACTTGTATACTAGAGAAGACGTGCCATCATCTAAGCCTAGAGGTCGACACGAAAATTATTTCATGAAGAGGAGAGTTGGGTCTGAATCGATGTCTACTTCAAAAGATCACCGCTATGGGGACTACGACGGCAGTTACTCACGTTCATATCTGAAATACGTCAAAACAGGAGATGTTTTTCGCTTACGTGACAAGTATGAGAGCACGGAAAAATTATCTTACTCGGACAAACTGCGAGCAAACTCATTGCCTAATCTCGAGGATACTTTATCCCGAGTTACCCCAAATAACAGAACAATCGTTCGGGCTCAGGAAAATGGCGATGTGAGCTCCGTTCGTCAAAAATATGAAGTGCCCAGAAAATCAAGAAGCCCAACTCGATGGGTTCCTATTCGAGACGAGTACGTACCCAAAAGTAAAATTAAATCCACTCTCGAGCGTCTTGGAGAAAAGTCTGAATCTTTGTACGACCCTGCTACGATCGAGCGTGTGAGCAAACGAGACAGCGTTGAAAAGAGCGTTCTGAAGCGAGTTCACACAGGTCTTGTTGAAACTAAAGTTGGGAGAATCGAGTCCAATATTCATTTGAAATCAGGACTGTCACTACTTGGGCACATGTACACGTCTTCTCCATCATTGACCGAACTTTCCAACATGGGCCCTCTCGTGCCTCCTAGGCCATTGTCGCCTACGTCCGCGGCTCCCAAGAAACCCCTTCGTTTGCATCAAGCAGTAACAGCTAAACCCCTTCAGACCTCTACTCCTACGGTGTCACCTCTTGATGGTTCTTCCTTGAAGTCTGACCTCAGAGTAGTGACTCCTCCAGAAATGAACCGTTGCTTTGCTGGCAAAAATTTTCCTGATTATAATGCTGAAAATCATCGACCGAAGTCTCGTTATATTCCACTGGACTGTCAGGGTGCTGTTTCGTGGACTCGTTCTCTTGAACGACCAAGGCGTCTAGCTCGGGCAATCGCCCCTGCGTCTTTCAATGGTCCAGCCGTCACGACTTGCGCAGTAAATTCATGCGCAACGTCGTACTTTTCTTGTACCCGTCAGATGACTGTGCCCTCTAGCCGGCTTTCCTACAGCAGTTCTTATTCTACCAACCCATCTCGTAGCTCCATTGGAAGCCAAGGATTCATACTACCGTACTTCGATCATCGGCAAGCTCAACCAAGTTCATTGCCGTATGTCTCACCGCCATCGAGGGTTAGCTCCTACTCTTTCCAAGGTGATTTACCGGAACCTGGAAATTATTACCAATACCGTCCTCAAACGTCACGTTATGATTGTCGATCGCTTTCTCCTCCACGTTCGTATAGCCAGTTTTCTGACGTTCACTCCCCTGCACGATACGGTCCCTACTCTGGGCAGCGACTACCCCAAGACTACTCGCACAACCGCAACTCGTACTTGTCATCGGGAGAGAGAAGTTCTTATCTAGAAGCAAAGTCTCTACCAGGATCAGTGATCTCTACGCCTCGTCCGATTTCTCCACCTCGAAGTTTGTATTCTGCTAGAGCTCCTCCGCGACCTCCTCAACGCAAGTCGGCCAGAGAATTTGAGGCGCAATTAACCAGATCCCGTAATCGCCTTCAAGCAGTTAGAGACCACAACTTCAACAAAGCTGTCACTTGGAAAGGTGTTGTTTTGATTTTTGATAGATATTTTCTTATTCTTGGTGAATCAAATAATTTACTGTACACTATAGTGGCGGTCCTAATTTACTGTTGTAATGTTACAAACCTGGGTGCAGTTTGTGAATGTACTACCGAACAGATCTGATTGCTTGTTGCTGTGGTAATTTTTAATTTATTTGTCTGCATTTTCTTTGATTTTCACCTTTCTTCAGCTTTAATTTATTTTGTGGAGCATGGATTATTAACACAGGGTCTTCATCATGACATAAGACTTTATTTATTTCTGAAGGAAATTAGTCTATTATCTCGTAGCCTCGCGTGCTTCTTTTATTTTAGAGTGACGTACTGACTCTTAAATGCTCATTTGTGGGCGCGATTCTGTGTCTTTCTTCCTCTAGTCGCTGTTGATACCACTGATACCTCGCTAATTCAATACTTGTGATTATCCACAACATCAGACCCAGTCATCGGCCCCTTACCTTTCCCCTACTTAGCGGCTGGGGGATATGGATTCTCACGGTCAGGTAAACCTCCAATATAAATTCTACGATGTAAATCTAAATTAAGAAATTTTTCTTAGAATAGATGCCACGGCGAAGCTGCTGAATATTGCTGTACAAAAGCTTATGTCGAAAATATAACTTGGCGTAGATGAAGATTTATTGGATATGTTATTAAAGATTAATATCATAAAATTGTTTCATCTCTTTTTGTTACAGGCTCTTAAAAACCGAATTAAGCTCGAAATTTGAAAGAGAATCTATAGATCTGTAGTGAAACGTCCATGTAATTCAAAATTACCGCAGTCACTGCTATTTCTGGTACTTACACTTTGCAGAAATTATTATTAATATAATAGATCTGTGGAGCTCATAAAATTACATAGTTTCGTTATTTGGTTTTAAGTCTGTCAAAAAGTTTTAAGTCCGTCACTCGGTAACAGATTTATTCCGCATTTTCGTATAAATCACTTTTAACCGTTGGAAAGACATTAAAATCTCTGCAGCTCATAGACATGACAGAATACTTTCTTTCTTCACCGTCCCTTATTTTAGGCGACGGACCCTTTTTTAAGAACACATTATTGGCTACAAACTTCCCTGAGAATTCACATGCCTAAATCAATTGAGATTTCCGATTTGTTATCGACATTCTCCTTATCTCTAGTTTAATGATTCATTCAACAATTTTTGCTGCATCAGAAATTTTTTAATTCTGTCTCTTTATTTCTCTATGCTTAATTCTGTTTGATAACTCATACTTTTTGATTACACAGTAATTACGAAGCTCTTTTTGAGAACCATTCATGGCATCCTAAGTGGATTCGGTTTCCCGTGCAGCACAGTTGATAAATTGGATTCCTGACTCGCCCTTTTAGTTCTTGTAAGCTGCAATTACTAATAAGGTATTCTGCATATAGAAGAAGGTGCTTTAAAAGAGCAAAGTAATCTGTCAAATAATTAATTATTCAGCGTTATTTTCTGAGATATTGTTGATGTTAAAATTTCAATTATTCTTGTATATGAACGCGTTGAAACAATGGTGTTGGTTCAGTCCTGTTTGCAATTAAAAGTGACGGAGAAACATCATTTTAAACTTCGATGCTAATTTTCCCGTTGCACTTGGTGGATAATTTTTCCGGAAACAGACTGGACGTCAACTGGAGAAAGGCTTGATGTTTCTACAAAATTTCTTTTGCGACTTTTTCGACTTGCTACAAAAAATGTTCATGAAAAATGTTCATCTGCACTTTTCTGTCGCTGTTTTTTATCTAATTAATGTCAGATTTTAATTTTTCTCTTTTTCTTCAAAACTTGACCATTTCTCCCCCACGCTTAAATAAACTTTCACTCTCAGAACCGCGACGAAAAGCTTATGGATTTGCTGAAGAATGCTTCCTGCGCTGCCTGCAGCATTATTTTCTTATGCATTATTACTGCAAGTTACCTATGCTTCCTTTCGAGTTTCCGTCGTATTCTGCACTTTGAACTCATTATTCTCCTTCATAGACGAGATCTTCCAGCCTAAGTCTTTACTGTCATATCAGTGATATCACTTTGCTGTTGTTGGAGTTTCCGATTGTAAAATGTTTCGATTTCTATCAGCATCTCTGCCAGTGCTTCCTCTTAAAATTTTTATATTCCGCTTTGTTGTGTTTGACGTCACGTTTGCCTCACAGTTCTCATTTTGGTCTCATTCGTGACGGTTATGGTTTTCTCTATTGTGTTAATTATCCAGCAGGAGCAATTTGAGCTCCAATTCAACTTTCGACGCACAATTCGTGATTTGAATTTATCCTTCACCGCGTTTTTTTTCGAGAGAGGTAGAATAATGACAATTTTGCTTAAAAGAAGTGTATCACACCAAAAAAACAACCTACACATTGAAAAATTGCCAGTATCATTTCCCTATGTTTGAATGTATATGTTCCAAAGTAGGGGCTACATAAGTGTAGGAATTCGCTTCCATGTATTGGATGACATATGCATCTAATACATTTTTCTAGTTTACAGAGCTTGTAGGACTCAATTAGTATTTATCTCATCGATCTAATCCGACATCCGAACTACCCGATTGAATTTTTTTTCAAATATATTATTACCTGATGATTATTCATTACATTCGTTATTTCTTAATGGTTGCTGAATTTGCAGGTAATTCAGGCTAAATCACCCGACATCCATGTTGCAAGATTGAATATTTTTTCCAAATATTTCATTATCTGGCGATTATTTATGACCTTCGTTATTTCTTAATTAATGGTTGCTGAATCTTCAGAAGTTCAGGTAATTCAGGCTAAATCACAGTTCGTTAGATTCTGTGCCCGCTACCTAGTTAATCGCAATATTTAGGCATAATTTCAGTGGAAGCAACATATATTTGACTGCACTGGTTGCATGACGTATTTATGGCAGCCCGTTTTTTAAGGCAACGAAATTACACCAGTTAAATAAGAAAAACATCGACTGTTTCATTAGACTTCATCTTGCTATGTGTATTCAAGTTTAATCTGTTATCACATTATTTGTAATTTGTTTTCATTAGCCATTTTCAATGCCTCAGGAACCACTCTCGCTGACTTGCACTAAACAGAATTCATATCTTGTTTGTTTAAATCATTTCACAGGAATCCTTTATCACAAATTCACTAAATAGCGTCTTACCTCTTCAGACTCACCTTACAAGTATGACACGAGCGAAGTCAACATTCACTACAAGACCCCAGTGCGACTGGAGCAGAAGGAACACATCCCTGACGAAGAGCTTGCACGACGTCAGGAGGAGCACATGCAACGTGTCTACGAACAGGAACGTCGCAAGAAATACCTCGCTGAAGTCGAGGACATCGAGAGACGGCGTCACGCCGACAACTTCACGTAAGTACACGCGAGGAAACTGAATGCTTTGCCCTATAGCTGGGTTGGTGTAAGACTGTTTCCAGTTTCAGATAATTTGTTTGGTTCTTTTGTTGCTTCTCTCATATTAGTTAGCTTGCGCCGTGATGACACACCGAGAATGCAAGTAAGAACAAGTGAACTGGTGTCTCCATTGATGGGTTTATATTTGTTTTGAACTACGTGTCTTGCTGCAGGGGTGTGCTTTCATTTTTTAGTTTTTGTTACAAATACAAATTCCTACTACCACTTTGACAATTTCACATGAATTTAGTGAACGCAATACCGATCTTTTAAACCCGATTCAACGCGTGATGAATGAAAGATTGGAAGTTATTTCGACACTTATTCAATTTTTTTTAAATTATCAATGTGCAGCGCATCATTTTAATCGTACATATGGGTTGAGGCAAAAAAATTAATTGCTAGAATTTTCTGATTAGGCTTCGATATTGCTGCGTTAGCAAGTCAGTGCACTCGTGTTGAATGGTCCAAGTGGGAAAAACACGCATATGTGTCGGTCTTTAATTGCATGGCCAAATGAGAGCTGAGTCAACTTGTGGTCGATTCAACTTTAAATTTTTAGCCTTTCCTTTTTCATTCAACTTGATATTTAGTGATCAATGATATTTTACACATTTGATATTTACACATTTACTGATCAATGGCGTTGCGTTAAGCAAATAGCGTGTATAGTTGCTGCATCACAATGTCTCCGGATGCATGTGAATGTGCATGCAATACATTCTTTTTGCAGTGGAAATTTTACTTATTAACTAAAACATTTTCAAATTTTAATGCTACTAACCCTCATTATTTTTTATTTAACAAGCTGTTTTCCAACGTACACAACAGCTAGTGAGGTCAATCCTAGTTTTTTTACTTAATTTGTTGTTATGGCTTGAGTAATCGAGGCTCCAACTTCCTTTAATGACTAACCGTTTTTGCGTGAGTTTCTGGTGTTGCCGCTTTGCTTTCCTTTTCTTGTCTCGGATATTTTATCTTTACTTATCAGCAGCGTTGCTTCATGATACAAACTCACATAAATGTAAAATTGGAAAAAGGATGATGCTTTCTATTGCCTACCTGACTTGAGCACTATTCAAAGATTGCTCAAATGACCGTGCGTTTTCGAAAAACGCTTCCAATTAGTAACATTATTTATCTTTCAATACAACTACAAAAACTACGGATTAATAAAGCTCAATTTCAAATTGATTTCGACAGTTGAATTTTTTATAACATCGAGTGCGTTACCCTAGATCACAACTTTACGCTGAATTGAAATTACAACATTATTTTTCAATCTACTTTCTTTCCTTCCTAGTGGTTTGTTTCAGTAACTCGATGATTATAAAATATCTACGGCAACGCTCGCGCTTCCGTTGTTTGGTCGCTTTGGGGGTTCAAAAGCTGAAGTTTATACGGTTTTCCTCCTTCTTGAACCTTTCAGTGCCGACAGCAACTGGACCCAACTGCAACAACATCGAGTCCAACAAGTGGCCAATGACAATACTTTATCACTTGATAACCACAAACAACACTTGAACTCACACCGCTTAAAACAACTCAAACTCCAGCAAATAATTCTCCCAGTTCTAAAACATCCAAAGTTCGAGCACTATTTCACTAAAATTCATTTTGAAAATGCAGAAGAAGTTAGTTCTGAACTAAATTCAGAGAAAATGTCACCTCAGAGAAAAACTGACGACTCGAGTACCTTTAACGGCGATAAGACTTGTTCCCGTGAAGGAATTTTTCCGGTTATTGAGTTGGCAGATGATAATTTTGTACATGAGTACCAACCACAAGCTTTCCCTAATTCAAGCTCATTTGTTACTGAGCATAATCCGCAATTTCTCAGTGGTTCTTATGACAATGTTACGCTTGGAAATTATTTTGAAACTTATCCCTCACAAAAGAAACAAAACGCCAATCGGGCATTGTTCAACGATCCCAATGAAAATGTTGCTGCTGCAAATAGACCTATTCGCTCTGAATTGAATGAAGCATTTTGCTCACTTCGAACTCTTTCCACAAAATCCCACCACGAAGTAGATGTAAAACCTGATCTTCCCAACCTTGAATTTAATCCGAATTCTAATAACAAGTCGGATTTGTTCACCCGCAAAAATTTCGATGCCATCACAATCTTAACTAAAAATTCAATTGTAGACGCGGCTCAGCTAGTAGTTCAGTCTTTGTCTGGCGTACTAGACTGTCACATCACTGCCGTTCCTGAGCAACTACCAAATGACCAAAAAATGTCGTTTAAGGAGACACTAAAGTTAGATGGTTACCCTCTAGCTTCGCCCAAGACCTCTTTGTCGAACCAGCCACCGAAAATGATGTACGAGGCAGAAAATGATTTGCGTGCGAAAAATGGCCGAAATGAACCTCGAAAAACTTCGTTGATGATCGATGATTGTAGCACAAGGAATAAGTTCGCATCTGGCGCAAAAGCTGACCAGGAAATGCCATCTATCACAAGTATCCAGTCATGCCCTGGAAGAGACATTAGCAACATTCATGGAGGGCCCACTTTGCATTCGTTCAATCATTCTGAATTGATCTCATCTCCAGTCACCAGTCCGTCAAAATCTCAGACATGGAATCTCAATACGTTGAAAAACTTTTGTGCAAAACCATTTGGATTGCAAGGTTCTGCAAGATCCATTGATTTCTCACTTAAAAATGTTGAACTCTCGAATTCTACAGAGAGAGCGTCGTGGGAAGTCCTCCGAGAAATCCATGAACAAAATTTAGCTGATGAAGAAGAGTTATTCGCGATTGCCGATTACATTAGAAAGCACCCTGATCGCGTAAAGCAAATGAATCAGTTTGTTATTAAATTCTACGAAGAAATGCATCGCTCTCAAATTAATAACGACTCTGACTGCAGTGCTGTAGCTAAACCTCCATGTTCTGCTTCTGACATTTCCAGGACCATCCAACCGTTTTGTATCACTGACAGTCAGTGTAATTTGAGTCATGAGACGACCTCTGCACAGGGCTGTTTCAAATCTGAAGCAACCTTCAAACCAATTTATGACTCGATTGCCAACATCGAATCCCAAGTTTCGGCGTCTTTTTCACGCACGCCAGTTAATACTGTTCATGGACTGGACACTGACAATTCAGAAACTAATGCTCGCGAAGTTCTGCACTCAGATATTGTGGAAAGTAAAGTTCAAGCACCTCATGGTCATGACACTGACACGAGCGAAGATGTTTTCAGATTCGAAGATGTTCCACATAAAATTGAATATTCAGGTGATCTTCCACTCACCATTGAAAATCCTGTGCTCTCGGATTCTGGGGTTAGTGGCGCGGTTTCTTTTGAAACGAGTAATGAAGTTCCAGTCTCTCCATTATTTGAAACAAATTCATCTGGAGATATTTCACGTGACACAGAAGATACAGAACCGTCGGTAATGAATCATGTAGGTAAGGAGGCTTCTTCACTCACTGGTCCATCTGAGTCGGTTCCAATCACAACTGCTGTCTCACATTCTCCTGTTCTCAACATTCAAGTTCCACTGTATTCACAAAGTGAAGAAGTCCCACTTGAATTGCCCTTGCTAGAGTTTAATTCTCCGCCTACTCGTCCTGAAAAAGGCGAGTTCTGGCACCTGTCATCTTCGTCCAAAACTGAAGCCGAGCATCAATCAGTTCGAGATGAAATGATTACAAATGAATTTGTCTGTCTCAGCAGTCTGCCGAGCCTTCCTGAAATTGGGAAGAATGAATCTGACAGTCTTGTCGGCTGTGTGAAGGAAATGATATCCGGTTCGAAATCTGTCGCTTATGTTGGTCTAGGACACCAGCAAGCAACGCAGACTGCCCCAATGACCCATGACTCTAATGCAGAGGAGCCTTTGCTTGACTTTCCAATCGATTACAAGTTGGTAGTCGAACCTGCTCGAGTATTTTATGCAACTGAGCAGGAAATACAAACATTTGCCCAGTTTGAATTTCCAAAAAATTTTGAAACGACACATTTTGAGCAACATGTCGTGAACAAAGTTGTGTCAACAAGCTCGAATGGATGTAGAGGAATGGAAACTGACGAGTTAGTAGTTCTTTCATCTCTTGACCGGTTTTTGTCCGCAATTTACTCTCCATTAAGCGCGATCGAACTTCAAGACCATAACTCATATAAAAGTAAGCAATTCGAATCCATAACATCACTGAATGTTGGAGAACGAGAAAGTGAACAAGGCAAAGTAAACATTGCTAATCCACCAGGATCTTTCTCGTCACATTCCTCAACAATGCTAGAAAAATCTTTTGCCATTGGCCTGTCTCCTGAAACTCATGTGAATGAATCTGTCAAAATAAGTGAAGATATCCTTCCAGAATCATTGAATACGTTCATTTGTGATGATACTTTGCATTTAGGGTCGTTCCAATCGGCGATTGAAAACAGTACTATACTGCATCGAAATAGCGATTTTGATGATGTAAAAGAGATGGGCTCCATTCAATCTTCTGAACTTGGTTTCGGAGAAGAAATTTGTTCTGACGTTAGGTTTGAACTTGCTGATTCCAGCAGATCTTCTGCTGGAGATACTTCGCTGACTTGTGGCTTCTTGAGTGTTGCTGAGGAAGAAATTTTTAATGTTGCTAATGAGAAAAGCTATGTAAAATTTGCGACGATCTCCACAATTTCTCCTATGGACGAAGAGACGCTTGAACAAACTTCTTTTGAGGCTGGGCGTCTCCAGAAAAAATCTAATATTTCATTTGAAAATACTTCAGTTTTAAAAAACTCAGGGTTTGTTGCTAATAATAATTCAGGAGCCTTATCGATGATGACTTTACATGACAGAGAAATTGAAAATTTTCCTCTTGTTTCTGTTACCAAAGTGAACCCTTCCCCTGATAGTCAAGTGGATGGGCCAAGTTTTGTGTTTAATAAAACTTGCGCAGATGTGCATGATAATAAAAATGTTTTCATCACAAACTCGATTAAAATTCCTGAAAATGCAGTGCAACCTCAAACTACTTCCAATGACACTGATAAATCGATTGATCTCTTATCTGTTGATAATTCTAGTTTCATTAACTCTCAACTGTCTTCAAGTTTGCTTGCCATCAATGAGACGTTTGACTCCACCATTATTGATGCGGATTGCGTTCCAACTATCAGTAAGCTTGATGAAACACCTTTACCCAGCACTGGTCTCGAATTTCCCAATACTGCAGGATTCCCTCATTCCGTGGATATTCCTAAGGACCCAGGTTGCTCTTCTGTGGATAAGGAATCTTCTCCAACTAAAACTACCGGTGCTTCTATTAAATTCGATACCGTCGACTTACAATCGAGAGAACGCCGAAATACTCATGTTCCAGAATTTCAACTTAACTTGGAGCTTATCGATTCCACCTCAGATTCTTCTGATATTCCTCGATTAATTCAAATACTCGATGAGCTACAATACACCGATATTAATGCAGATAAGGTCACATCCGAAAAACAACGTGACAAGCGCATGAGGTCGTCAGATCTGGAACCGTACTCAGATTTTCAAACTCTGGTTGATGAATGCAGTCAGAAGAAATCATTGATGGCCGACTGCAACAATGAAACTTGTGAATTTGGTACTTTTCGATCAGATAATCGCGGCAAAGGTCAAGAAGATAATGTCTCTGAAAATTATCAAACCATTCCTGTGGCTGATATGAATAATACTCCAACGTTCGATGGCACATTCAAGATGACACCGGTAACAGATCCTGTTTCGGAAACAGATGTTGAAGATAATTACATCTTCGGATCCTGTAAAATTGTGCGGCTGCGAAAGAAAAAACCCTTCCTTTACAAATATCGCACTTACAAACCGGTTCAACGTGGGACTGCTGATTCGAAAGAATCGACCGTTGATTGTGAAGACGACTTAAACTTCGAGTACTTGGCCACTGACAGGAGTGAAAAGAAGTTTATTGACTCAGGAAATACTAATCTTGGTCAAACAATTTATGATTCAGAGCAAACTGATTTGCAATGTGACGTTGAAAATGCTGAATGCTCCTTCGAATTTTCAGCTGAAGATTTTTCTGTTGAAAACGACGACTGTGCTACGCAGAACAAAAATCATGAATGCATTGTCGCTTGGATTGAGGAAACCAACTCCCTTCCTCTAACTGACGACTGCAAAGAACAACTACGACGAAATGCGTCGTTTGAAGGCCAAGATTTTCAACACGAATATTCCGACAGTTCTACTTCAGAAGATCTTGTTTTGGACCATCAAATTTCATCAGAATGTGGCAGCAGTCTTATGGCTTCAGTGAAATCTGATGGTTCAGGGATAGAAATGGACGAAAATACAAATGAAAATCTAGAAAATTTTCAAAATCAAATTATGTTCCATCGTAGATACCTTTCAACACTCAAAGTGGTTTCGTGTATTTTTTCAGCTGTATTTTATCTCATCGATCTAGAAGCGGGAGACGAACCTGAAAGTTACCATGAATTCGAGAGAAGAATCGACGAAGAAATTCGTAAACTTGATTATCTCGTTCCTGAATTTTGGAGGCAATGCAGTGTTCTGGAAGGTAGTTTACCCATTGAAACGAAGGCTGCCGATGACGTGAGTCAGGCTTCGTTCAACGAAACTGATCAGATGAAAACATTAGCGATAAAGCGCTGCGCTTCGGTGGGAAGCGTTATGGCTGATCCGAAGCGAGTGAAGTTTGCTCCAGGTACGGAGTCTCCTGTAGTCCGTCACTGCAAGCGAAGAAGCTTGAAAGCAAAACTCATTTCTGAATATTCAAGTAAGCTTGCTACAGCGGCGAGATTCTCCGCTTCCACGAAGTTCAAGAAGATCTTTTCCAGAAAGCAACCGTTCTCAGCTTCCTTCGAAGTTCAAGCTGAAAGCAACAAAGAAAACTTTGAAAACGCTGCCATTGAAGAAACTCTGACGCCTGAAACTGGAGAAGCAGAATCGTGTGATGACGTTGAGTATGCAAAAATTTATAGTTTGCCTAGAAATGAAAACCACGAAGATGATGAAATATCTGCTACAAGGGAAATTAAACTAGCCAATGAAGCCGCACAAAATAGAGAGAATGATTCAAGTATCCCGCAAAACGCAGCTCAAGCGTCTGCCATGTACTCTGGGGAAAGAGAAAAACCGCCATCAGTCATTTTCATAAATGGGGTGCCCATTGACGAAAACGAGGAGACTTTCGTTTAACTTTGACGATGTCAGTGGCTTACTCTTATTTAGTGTTTAGTCGAAACATTAGTGTTTAGTTCTATTTAGTGTCGAAATTTTTTAATCTTTATTGACATCCACCTAAAAATATCTTAGGTGGACTGTTTAGAGAATTTGATTGGCTTGGTTTTGTCTATAAGTTTGAGTCTTGAGTTCAAAAATTTTTTAACGTTTCAATCCTAACGAGTTACCCTGATAGTACACTTGATTGGGCTCTTACGGTGTAGGCTATCATTAGCTTAATAAGATCAATACGATGCCTTGTACGCAACATTGCATTACACTAATTTTTATATCAAACTCATGCCACTAATACCAGCACATTAAGAAAATACGTTATTTCTGTAAAATTTATGAGGAAACTACGAACGAGTTTCCTAGTGTCTACTTCAGATCCTGATTTTAAGACATGCAAAACCCCAACCTGTATCCGACAAATTTCAAAATCTGTATTCTCTCTTTAAATTCCCTTCTAACACCATTTCCTGGCCTTTTTACTTCCATACAAATTTAACACAGTCCCGTTGTGTGGGACGAACATAACAGCTCTGTAAATATCCTGCATTTTGCTATGGTGCCTTTGGCCTCCTTTAAACACCCATCCTACGACCTCTGCTCGCTATGCTTCTTTTCTTTGAGGTACGTTTCTTGATAATCTTAGTTATCCTCCTCTAGAAATTTTCAGTAGTCGTCCTATTTGCATTTTTATGGCTTTTTCAGTGTACCCACAAACATGCACGTTTCGAAAAACGTAGTTAGTTACAGGTAGATGCATGCCGCGGATTAGTGTCCGTCGATAACGTGTTAGTTGAATGTTGACCAGTTTATTCTAATATTTCAATATTTTTATTTTCTATAAAGTCACTCGTGTGAATCACGCACTTTGAAATCAGCATTAATAATTCCTTTAATTTATTTGCAATCTGCCGATGTTTTTTTTTATATGTACTTGTTCTCATTGTTTAGAAAGATTTTGTTCACATATGTCTGAACCTATTAATAATTTTTCGGTTGTAAAATTACAGAAAAATACTCGTTGAATGTTGAGAAATTAATATTCAGCATGATTCTAAAGATCTAAGATCCCCATAAAATATGGGGTTTTAATCCTGCTGTTGAAGAATGTACAAACTTGAATTCTTCTCCTCAGTTGTAGCCATCTTTAATTGATTTGTTTCAATTGATCGCAATGATCGGTTAAAAAGGTGCTCATTTACAGCGAAGAAAAACAATATCCTGTATATTACCAGAATTTGAAAAAAACATAGTTATGAGAACATTTATGATAACATGCTATGTTATGAACAAAAAACAACATTCGATAGCTGTTATAATTCATTTCATTTTTCTAATTTTTTATTTTCATAATCGTTTAAGTTTTTTCATTCTAATTGAACTAAGTTTCATACCGAAAAATAGAAGTGTGCCTGATATTTTTTCTCGAATAATCGTATTTATTGCAGAAGAAATTTATTTTCTGAAAATATCCCAAAAACATTGCTTGCAAATAAGTTCCCTGCGTTGACAGACCGCTCCAGAAGTCGCCCATCCCCCTGAACCGCTACGATGACGACATAGTCACTGGTCGCCCCCCCAACAAGCAGGTGGCGCGAGCACTCTTCAGCTTCACCGCGCAGAACAAGAGGCGAGAGATTGATGCCTTTTATTATATTTTGTTCTCTTTTGTATGCTCTGGTAGGCACTTGGATACGTTTGTGTCGTTTGATAGCTGTATAAGTTTGAAATTTTTCAATATTGCTAACGACCGTTCTACAAGGGTTTTTATGGCTTTAAATGCGTAAACGTTTTGGTACAAATATTTTCATATCTTTCGTTGGAAATACGCAATAATTTGCAATAACTGTCTTCAACTTGAATTACATTGAATCATCTCGAATTTTTTTCTTCAGGAAATTTCATTTCTAAGAAAAGTTTATTAAGTTCTAGCATATTACCTCGTTTGCTTATAAAAAGGATAACCTGATTTCTTAATAACGTTGAAAAAAACCTGTGAATAAATATTTTAAACTATGTTATACAAGCGAACAAAATTATTTACAAACAAAAAATTATTTCATAAAATGGCTAGTAAATCATCCTGATGCTGAAATTATGGTATATTACTGCATTTCCCGTATTTATCGTATATAACTGTATTTCCTTCTAGATCCTCTTTTATTATGTACATCATACATCACACTGAACATGGTAAAAGACAGCAATTTTGTGACTGCTGAGAGCTGAGGTTCATATATCCCACTAGCTCCTCTCCTATCATGCACTCTATATACGTCACACTAAACTTGTCAAAAGAAATCAATATTGTGACGATAGCCTGACTCTGCAAAAATTTCAGCTTCGTATGTCCCACTAGTTCCTCATATATCATGCACACTATACATCACGCTAAACGTGTCAAAATAAATCAATATTGTGACGCGAGTGTGACGCTGCAGGGAGCTGAGCTTCAACAAAGGCGACGTAATCAGCGTGCGCCGGCAGATCGATAAGAACTGGCACGAGGGCGAGCTCCGGGGCATCGTGGGCATTTTCCCCTCCAACTACGTCGAGGTATTGTGTGTCCTCCGTTACACCTCTTCAGCTATACCTGTTTTGAGTGCAATACTAAGAAAAATGTACGAATATTTATCGTAATTTTAAATTTTGTCAACCATGATGCACAAAGAATGATTTTGCTGAATCAATACGTTCTTCTAAAGTCAGTGACTTTGTTCAGTAAATTTCACTTGATTTTAAAAATAGTCACAATGATTATGCGTGTTTTTCCACTGGATTAAGATTTCTTCAAGCATTGCTTATAATAAATAACCGAAATGACTCTTGTTAATAGTTTAAATGAATGTAATACATCGAGCAGATCCTGCCTGCTGAAAGCCTGAAGTCACATGTGCGGAAGCCGGCTGAAGGGCAGGCGAGAGCTCGCTTTGCTTTCCAGGCGCAGACCGCCATGGAGATGTCGCTGTCGAAGGGTGAGTTCTGGCCACGCTCGTGTGAAGTGTCAGTTTGAAATAAAGTTAAACTAATTGTGGCTTCGGGGTGTAGTTATTATGATTACTGCAGGCCTCATAACATCACACACCTCATATCATCACACACCTCGTATCATCACACACCTCAAATCATGACACTATTTATATCATCGCACACTTCATCACACACCTCATATCATCACACTCTTCATATCATTGTACACATCATATCATCACACCTCATATCATCACACAACTCATATCATCACACAACTCATATCATCACACACGTCATATCATTACACTATTTATATCATCGCACACCTCATAACATCACACCTGGTCTCACACGTCTCATGGTCCCTCAGGAGAAACGGTCATCCTAACACGTCGCGTTGACCAGAATTGGTACGAAGGCCGCGTTGGCGCACGCCGTGGAATCTTCCCCGTGTCCTATGTGGATGTCCTCGTCGAACCCGGCGACAAAGGTGAGTTTCATTACGTTATTCTGCTTCCACTCTTCCTAATACGCTGTCAACCTTTGTATAATCACATCATTGTGTCACTAATTATAAATCGGTAGATTATAATCGTGGCAAAATACACTAAGTAGCTTTCGCTTCCATAAATCAGATTTCAGCGCTTCCAATACTTTAATTGTTGTGTCACTCTTAGAAAAGCTGTGATAATCGTGCATATAGGTACGCTATTTAATTTTAACTATTGTAAACAAACTGTACAGCGCTTTAATTAAAGACTTACATAGATTGTGTCCAAAAAACAACAAATGATAATAGTGCAGCTGTTTAAAAATGTCTCTGGTCTATCACTCTCGAAAAATCCACGATCGATTTATCTAAGTTGATGAATTGATTTTAGGCTTCAAGAGCAAAGCACTTTACTTAGATTGGTTTCAGAGCCGTTGAAAAGCCAGTGACAGACTAGTGTTTGCTGCTTAGTTTTTGTGACAAAAAAAAATCATGCACCATCATTTTCTTAGCGTGGAAGGGAAAGTATTTTTGCGGCTGCATAACTGAAACAGTTTCTGATGCCCAACCTAAGGTCTTGTTTATTTTCGGTTCATGAATCGCGGGGAAATCATTTTTTCATTCCGGCTCCATTTTACGCGATGTGCCACACTGAATTTTAATAAGTGATCACTTATATACTCTTGAAAGTATGCATTAATGCTACTCTGTTTCTTTGCCTATATTAAATTAATGTCCTTCCAGTACCGAAAATTTTAAGATATTCAAAAAAGTTTGCAACGAAGAGCATCATTATACATTTTTCCCACAATATGAGCTGTTTTAGGATTAGAATATTTTTCCCCGTATTTTTCTTAACTTATTCTTCATTGCTGACATTTTTTCCCATACATGTTGACAAATCATCATTCACAGTTAAATCATTCATTTATTACGTTAGACGTTAGCGTGTTAAAACGTTCAACTAAATAGGGTCACATAATTTTATCTGAATCACTCCAATTAATACTCATTCGCTTATTTACTCTTCGGTTAACTTTTTTTCATTTATCAGTGTCAACGTCTGCATAGTGTGAATAATCGCGAGAAGTTGTAAATAATATAGAGATAATATATTTGCTTTAATGCTGTTCTTCATTTGCGATAGAAGATGAAGTGCTTTAGTTGTGCCTGTAGACGTCTGGTAAACGGAGGGAGCTCATACACACGATTCCATCACTATTAATTTAAAATTCAAACTGATGAATAATTAACGTGCACTTTATTTTTTGATCGCTAGCATACCCGCTTAAATTTTCGCATTTTAAACATAATTCGGTACGTGATATTTTCAAGTCAATGTTGACGTATTTTCAAACCTTCAGCTGATACAATGAAACTACAATTGTAGCAAATAACTAGAATCCTTTTTTAACTTTGTGATACCCAGAAAACCAAATTCAAAACCTTTCATTCTTTATACCATCTAATAGATATTTACGACAGACCATGAAATGCTTTGTGTAAGAACTCTTAGCAAGAAACGAGGTATTGAACTATGATTCAAATGCTCGGACTTTTTTTCCAATGGCGGAAGAAAAAGAACATATAGATTTTATCAAGTAGTTTTTTCCCCTGAGCTCATTGGCTTCTTGCATTTCTTAGTCTCCTTTGCTGCCATTTCATTTTCGGCTTCAATGCTGCTTCTTATTTTCAGCAGCGCGGCTTACAAATTTAAGCTTTAATCCACTTGCATTAAAGTCCCCACTCCTTCTAAGCCATTGCATGGAAGCTCAACCAATATCATTGCTTTAATATAAATATCCTTAATTTATTTCAAATTGAGTGAAAATTTTAATTCATAAGTTTTGATATTAGAGCGAATAAATTTTTTCTTTTATATTTCCGGAATTTGTGTTTTCTCATATTTTGCCACGCTTGAAATGGTCAATAAAAGATTCAAATCTCACGAACTGGCTGTAGAAAGTTAAATATTATCGGTTAAATTAGAACAGTTAGCATAAAAATTTCAACAAAATGAAACTAGAAAACTTATGTGTCCATATGATTCTATGATTTTTACAAGCTGCTCGTATAGAAAGCTCTTAGCTTCGTAAAGTCGTATTCTTGTGATTCTTTGATCAAAATTTAACTTTCAATCATAATTATGGCATAAGACTCTTGTTAATATTGCTGTCAGGTAATTACGTAGTAATTAAGAATCCCGTCCTATAGAGGACAAAAAATGCATGAAGATACAAGTTTAAGAACTTTATCACAAAATACACTAGAATATAATGATAACTTTTGGACAAATATAAGAGCGTAAACCGTTGCTACATTGACTATATATTTAGAGAAGAAGAATTTCCGCATAAAGTGCTAACTTAAATATGTCAGAAGTTTCTTTCAAAAGTGCACTTCTAAAATTCTGAAATTCCACTAAATTTATCATCAAAAATGTCTCGTTATTGTATTAAAAATGGCTAAGTGCACTCCCTATGAGCGCTAGACTTCATGAATCGTGCGTGTGGGCCGCTAAAGTTTACGCGGCTTTTGACAGCCTCACCGAGCAGCTCTCCTCTACCACGCCCAGCTCTGCCATCCACGACGGTTCTCTACAACGGCGTCGTGCCGGCCTCTGCCAGCGCTAATTCCACCATGGTAGGTCAAAGCGTCGTGGCAGCCTCTGCCAGCGCTAATTCCACCCTGGTAGGTCAAAGCGTCGTGCCAGACTCTGCCAGCGCTTATTCCACCCTGGTAGGTCAACTCTATCCTCGTTACTCTATCCTCGTAAGCTACCCGCCGCGCATATCCTCGAACTGCATCTTTTTCTATTCATTCATCGAATGGGGTTTATTCGCCTTCTCCTAGAAGGCCATATCGCAGTTCCCATATTCGTAGTTTATTCATCTGTCATTCATATCCTCATAAGATATGAATGATCTGAGATGGTATTTGGTGCTGTAAGTAATCTATTTACGATTGCAACAACTAAGTCCCAATGTCAACCTTCATCAGCTGGTAAGTTCTCTATTTGTTATTTATACCTACTTTGATGGGTGATTTTTTTTTGCAATGCACACAATGGCGTCTATCTTTGGATTGTAAATTTTCTGCAAAATCGTTAATCTGCTTGCGAAACTCGGTGTATGAGCGGTCGTTTCACTAACACTTCTCGACCTGTTACCTTCACTTTATGCAAATTTTATTCTTTTCTTACATCACCTGTTACCTTCACTTACTTGAGTTTCCATCTCTTAACGCACCTTTTTCCTTCTCTAACTACAGCTGTAGCCTTTCGCTTATTCCCTTTTTTACTTTACAAAAATCTAACTGATTGAATTGAAACCTCTTAGATCAGAAGTTGGTCATTCCTGTACTCCAATTGTACTTGCTTGGTCTAATGGATATTATCATATTATTTCTTCTCCTTAGCCATGGTTATTATGGTAAATGGACTTCTATCATATACGCACCATCCTTCAAAGTAAGGGTACGCACACAGTGAAAGCAGGTTTGCCCGCGCGGGCAACCTGCTCCAACCTGCCACAAGAATGAACATAGGATAATAATGTAAGTGTTCACAGTGAAAACCTGTACGAATATTCTTCTGTATTCTATGGTTTCAGGCGCCAGCCTGAGCAGGTAACCAGCACGCTGGCAACCTGCTTTCACTGTGTGCGTACCCTAACGCCGAATGAACATGCCGGTTTCGCCTGTTATACTTGCCATTTTATGCGCATAGTCTCGTATATTATCATATCATTTGTTATCTCTGTAATCAAACGCCTTGTTTGTATCAAAATAGATGTTCATTCACAATCTAGTACAATTTCATTCAAACTTGGAATTATTTAAGAATAATTAAAAAATTTGAATTATTTTTTATAATTGTACCTTGGATTTCTGATTATGTAAGTTGGAGATCAATAAGCTGATTCGGAACAGTAAAGCTGAATTGATTTTTTTTGACTAATTCAAGCGTAGCGTTCATTCCAGATTTTTCTGGTTCACGTATCCCTAGGGATTAAGACACGTGACGCAATCGCAATTGATGAGCACGTATTTTTTACGCTTATAAATATCATCAGAACCGTCAGTAGAAAAAATGATTATTCAGCAAGTAAAATTTCTAAGTTGACCGATATTTTATACCGATTATCTATTAAATTGATGAATGAAATATATGTCCTGGCTTATCTGACATTGGTGACTGTCTCGATTGTTCCGTTTTGCTCTCAAGTATTTGTTAAGGAATTCGATCATTGAAAGCACAATCACGGCAGCGGAACTGAACTTCAAAACATTAAATTCGAGTGAAGCTGAAAACTCGACTGCTTTCTATCTTCCAAATAATGAAGTATTGATACGCGGATTTATTAATGCATGAAAGTTTGTTTAAGCAACTCATGCACGATACGCCTGGAATATTCTCGAATTTTCTAAATGATATTTGACGGCCCATTTAGGCTAACAACGATATTTTGTGTGATCAGAGTGGCACCAGCGCGGTGCAGCAGCAACAGACCACAACAGTCGAGTCGCGGGCCACGTACAACCAACAGCTGAGCGTTAACACACAACAGGAATCTGTTCCGTGAGTTTCTTCTTGAAATAACACAAAAAGGTTTAGTTTGTTTTAAGTCACAGATAAATTTCAAGTTCATTCTCAAAATTTCATTAAGTGGCCAACATCTATTATCTTAAGAAGGTTTGTAAACATAGAAGGTTGGTAATATGATAATGATCTTTTGTACCGTCCCGTACATTTTTGCTGTTCCGTACACAATGTAAGCACGAGAAATCTTACATTACAATATTTTAACATTTGCTAAGCTTCACAGAACTTCTTTTGAGGTACAGCTCCTATTTCAATAATCTTAATGAAGTAGCGGTGTGTATTTTGCTTCTAATGTATCACCAAATTTAACTTAGCACTCTAAACGGAGTTACAATACTCACCTCATAACAGGGTAACTGAAATAAATATCTCCGTTCAGATACCGCGCTTTGTACAACTACAAACCTCAGAACGAAGACGAGCTCGAACTGAAGGAAGGCGACGTCGTCATGGTCATGGAGAAGTGTGACGATGGCTGGTACGTCGGTACGTCTCGTCGCACGTCCTTGTTTGGTACCTTCCCTGGCAACTACGTCGAGCGCATCGCGTAGGGATACTTTGCTAAATTATACGTTCTATTTTAACGTACGAACTACATACCTTGTAGAGCTAAAATTTATTCCCGGGATTTTACAATTTTATTTTAATTTTTTTTATAATTTATTCCCATCGCATCTCGTGCGATAATATTCAATGATCTAACCTTCCTCTTATTAAAACTTTAACAAATTTATTCTATGCACGTCGCAAAAATTTCTGGTTAAATGGTTGAGAATATGAATTCCTGGTTATAAAGTAATTCTGAAACGGGCAATCATTTACCGTGAGTAAATTTGCGGAGAGTTCGAAATGATTTAAAATTACCCTATTTTTTTTAATTTTTAAATATTTCTAAATGCTAACGATGGCGATCGATCGATCCGAATCTGTGATCGATTTCGTAACGATGACGTATCAAATTCTTTCGACGTTTCCTTGCACGTTAAATAGATAGAACATAACTTTGTGCGACGTGTCAGTTCAATAATTCTGCAGGGGATCTAAATATTTTAAACCATTGTTTAAAAATCTTGAAGGTTTTTATTAAAGTTTCCGTTTCGTCGTTGCCAGACTCGAAGTTGTGTGTTGCCTTAGAAAAAATGTTCAAAGTACGAATGAGTGCGACTTGACTAAGGAACGATTATTAATTAGAAATGGTTACTTTTTCCGGGATGCATATGTAATGTCATGAAAATGCCGTGAAAAATCTTGGCTTACTTATGCTGATTTTCTGATTCTGTTTCAATTTGGAGATTCAATTGACCGATTTTCAAATAAATATAAATGTCATTTTATAAATGTTGTGTGGCTGCTTTTGTAAGTCAGTATTGCTCGGCTTGAACGTGTGGATTTAAGAAATTTTCGGTCTGCGTAAGCGAGTTCAAGATAATTCTGGAATCTTCGTATTTGGTTATCTGGATTTTCTGGATCTCCTTTCGTGTTTCCAGATTTCACGGTTTTAATCAGACGGTCGCTTGTGTTGTGTTCAGGTTACTTTTTGTAAATACTTTGTTCATTGGACAACAATATTTCATGTGTTCGTTTGAAATCAGCTGCAAAATACATATTTATTAATATGAACTACTGGAAAAATCGCCGAAAATCCACCAACTTACATAATGGCTTTCGGATGATAAGTTTTTTATTTTTGTTTCTGTAGAAAGTACACTTTTCAGGTTTTTTCACTTATCTAGTCACGCCCAAAGTATACTTAATGTTCTTCTAAAGTTTTAGGTTCGCTTTCGTTGTTTGGGTGCACCGACGTGTAATACAAAGTTCTATCCATTAGCCAAGCATTTCTTTTTGACTGCGGCATGATAAATTTTACGTTTCATTTACCTATCATTTTCTTAGTGTGGTATTTGTACAATTTTAGTAAAATAGCAAACCATGGTAGTAACCATCACGCTTAGGTGCACCTCGACAAGTTTTCTCTTTATTTAATCTTGGCACTTTTGATAAGCATAAAAATGGAGCTTAAAAGTCCTCTGACAAATTTCGCACTGGAAAAAGAATATCCTGATTCTTGTTCAAAGATTTTATTTACATTCATTTATTTTTCACGTCGTCATAGTAAATTCAAAAATAATATGCTTTGCTTTGGGTAATCAAAGCTTCCGGATCCTAATAAAAATTTTATTGAAAATGTATCTACTTTTTTCGGGAAAATTGTGAATTTACTACGTACTTTCACAATTTTTCCCATTTTCATTTGATGTTGAATTTTATTTAGAAATTCAAATACCCTTTGAAGACTTTTAAGCTCTTGTCTTGCATTTAGCTGATTACTTTATTTTAATGTTGTCTCATTCGATGTTGTGTTACATTCGATGTAGAGAACATTCGTCTTACAGCTGCGTTGTCCAAATACGAGGGGCTGGAGCTATCCAATGTTGCGCTTGCTGCCCTCTCTTTTATTGCAAATTTTCCGCGAATCTTGTTTTTTTATCGGTTTAGACTTCTTGTATCGTTTTTCTGACTTTCAATGTTGCGGTCTTGCTCTTATTAAGTTAACCTCTCAGGTTGAATTTTATTTAAAAAACAAGTTCGTAAGATTTATCCAACGGAATGGATTTAATTCAACAGTAATTCCCTATGTATATATAGCGCAACCTTGGCCTTCAACTTCACTCTGTGCGAAGTAAAAAATCATCATCAGACCCGAACAGTGAAACGTAACAGTAATGGCTCCGAACCTCTGCGCTAATTTTAATTTACTGCTTAGTTTCATTTTATTTGATTCAATTTTTGTGGATTTAAGCTTTTGTTTGTGTATAGTTCCTTCTTTAACTGTACTTTATCTTATTGAAGTGTTGCCTGGCTAGAATCCTGAATTCTAACATAATTCATTTTGCTTGTGTTTGGAAATCGAAGATTATGTTAAGGTTTGTGGCTGCTATGAGTTCGACAGTAGGACTTCAGGCGGTAATTTGGTCTATGGTATACCCTGTTTCGACGAGAGGTAGAGCTTGAGTGTATTGCAACTTCCTCATTATTTGAACGCTATCAATGACAGTTGAGTGATCACGACTGGCGGTGATTCAAACTTTTGGGCATGGTGGGAGATGACTTGAATCGTAACAAGTTCGTCTATAACATAAGAGATGTTTTTCGCACGTATGTTATGAAACTAAATCTGATAGAAGAACGTTTTGGGCTCAAGGTGATGGGGTATGGAAACAGCATGGTTGGTTGTGGTACACTAGATGGTAGCACAAAGACCAGCAGTGCGATTTCGTATATACCTCTTGTGCAAGCATCTGAAAATTCAAAACAATATTTGGACTTCGGAGCAACTTTGATTTTCATTGCGAACGTACATAACTCGTGTGGTAGAAAGGCCGGTGCTCTTGTAGATAGTTTTTTACTTGATCTATAATTCGTTATTATCACGCATTGTACGAAGTATAATTGAGTTTTAAACCTTCCAATTTACGCTGAGAGTTTATAAGTAGCCTACCTTTCGCCTATAACCTCGTCATTCTGTGCTTCCAAATATCTTCGCAAAGGCTCGATGGCACACCGTAGATGTAACTCTCTCGGTTTTGTAACCAGAACACACGTATTGTAATTATACACGCAATCTAAACTTGTAAGCTTGAGCTTAAGTGCCTTTAGGAGGATTGTGTACGGAGAACTTCCTTAACACCGTTTGGCCTAAACGAATGAGTTTACGATTAATCTCCTCACCTTTTGTTGATATCAGTGTGATGATGAAAAATTCAGTGTATGGACATTATCAACCCATTACTCCAGTGGGTTGTGTGCAACCAAAGCATTTCTGCCGCGTCACCGAACTTCGGCTATGTTGACGGAACATTTCTTTCGGACGCAAACTACAAAATTGATCAGAATGGCATCTTGATTGCAGCGAAAATAGCGATTTTTTTTAAATACATACTTTCGTATATTGATGTAAAAGAGAAAATAAAGCAAAGGATTAAATGAAGCAATTCATTTCTTTCGTCATAATTGTTTGTTATACCCTTAAAAAATGACGAAATCCAGTCACTAATCGTTGCAGATTTAAAGAAAATCGCGGATTACCTAAATTTCTTGCTTTTCATTGTAATGCACAACTCTATCGATAAGTCAAAATTATTAATAAATAAAATATTAATGTGAAATTATGTGTCAATGCCCTAAAAAGACAGCCGTATAAATTGAAGGTAAATTTTTCACTATGCACGTTCAATTATTACAACTCTAAATTTCTACCACTGGCATATCGAAGTATTCGGAGATTATTTAGGAAACTCTGCTTAGGTACAAATTTCAAACTTAATTGCTCTCTTCTCTTGAAAATAATAACACAAACAGTACTTAGGTTAACAAGATGCCTCATGAAAACGGTTTATTATAATAATACAAGATCGCAACTAGTGGGAGTATCACAGACGTTAGTAACTTAATAGTGCGCACAAACTGCTCGTATCACATGACTGCAGGTAGCGAGGCCATGAACATTCTTCAAATATAAATTAAATCAAGCCACAAAACTGATGCTAGTCTATGTCTAAAACGGTTTTATCGTTACATGAAAATATAAATCTTGGTTTCATGGCTTCATTATCTACCAACTGAATGTTGGCTTATGTATTGTGTGTAAGGACATCTACACGAGAAGCACTGACATCTCAAGATTCACTTTTACGATCTCATTGCATTACTTCATTGATTACTTATCAACGTAAACTAACTATGCTCTAGAAATGAATATTATTGCACATCTATCTGAAAAAATTTTCAATTAAAATCTCCTTAATTTTTATTTCTGATGGTCATAAACACTCATTAGGCAGTAGAGTATTTTACGTTGACCGACTATATATATAGAGTAGCTCACCAACTTGTTTCTGCATTTCTAGTTCTTCGGTTCTTCGGTTATTTATTGATAGATTCATAACGAGTCGCGAGAGCTTGACATTGAACACGGCGAAAGTAACTGATGTGTCACAGACCACTTTTCTCGAATTGGCTCAGCAAAAGTCACAAAAAGACATTGAGTTCAACCTTCAGCCTTCTGATGGTATTTAAATTTACCAGGCCTTAATATATGTACAACTGCTTCGGAGACGATAAACAGATAATCAGCTGTAAGATAAATTTGCTCTTTCTACGATGAAATTATTATTCTACTAATATGGTCTCCATAATTTTACAGTAGATTCTGATGCAGGTGTCAGAACAGATTTTCCGATTCGCGCACTTCTGTTGTCTTCTGATTGACTATTGCTTGACGAGTTGTTTTTCAAGCAAACTTGATGTATTAATGTTCTAGTTTTTGAAAATGAATTTTCCTCGGCACCTAAATTAATTCTTTCATTCAATTTTGAAATATTTGTACGTTCTTTAGATCTGTTTCGAGTCACGAAGCTCGAATCATCTTTTATATTATTCGTCGTCATAGTTCTATTGGTCGAGGTTTGAGGTATTGCAGAGGATTTTCCAAGTTCCTTGTGGGATCCCGCATTTGGAGAGTTAGTGCAATTCAAGGGAACGTTCAAGGCGGCCACACTAGGACAATCTTTAGTATCATTCAACGGAGGAATGTTTGAAAACTCTCTAGATTTGAAAAATTCCTCGTATGCCCGAGATTCCATACCGTGATGGTAGGAAGGCCAGGGCCTGCGCGCTGCTAGCGTCGTCTGGTACAGCCGGCGCAGGGAGATGGGAAGGTGCGACATGTGGTGCTCCGAAGGCCCTGAGAGGAGCGGCATCCTTGGCAGCTGTGAAGATCCTGCCGTGTTATCTTCTACTTCTGTTTTCCTTTCATCATGTCGTCCACTGCCTGAAAAATGGAAATTTTTAGTATAAAACGTGCCCCCTCAGTTCTATTAGTGTGAAACATTTCGATCATACAGTTAATAATTCACACTCAGAAGTAAAATGTTCATTTTTCTATCTTACAGAGGATTGGACAATATTTTAGTATGTTTTTGTTGGATTTTCTATACTAGTCGAAAATTCAGATTAAGTTTTGATAACAAGAATGAAGAGAACTGAGATGATGTTGCTTTTTGAGATCGTCAGTGTAGATGTTCAGCACTGCCAGAAATTTTTGAGAAAAAAATCTTGATTACCTCATTGGTTTCAGAAATTACAGAACACTGGCATCTTCTCCAAATTTCTTTTGCGTATCATTGGTATCTTAGTATTCATAGTGAATGTTAACATTTAAAATAACCCGTCGTTTTCGACATACACTGTTTAAATTGTTTTGAATACGGCTAATGTATTGTTCACACACTCCCGGAAGTTGTTCACACAAACCATAAGATGTAGCATACGGTTACGCTTGAAATTAACACGAAATTAATAGAGCAACGCTATGTGGATTGTTCGATCTCAACTGTCGTTAAGTCGTCAGTTCGATTGTAGTCTGCGGAACCCCAGTTAAGAGTTCGTTGAAAAAATGTCGCCCATAAGTAAAAGTAAAAAAAAACTGTCAATCATTATCTTCGGCTATAGGAGTTTAATTTCATGACATATTTCTAAACGTGTTATTTCCGTTTTATTTACGGACGGATATAATTTATGCCAAAATATTAAAGAAAATTGGTTGAACATGCGAACGAACCACCTTACGGGTTTGTGGAACAATGGTTTGTCGGAATTCTAAGTCGAGTATGTGTGAAGTACACAGATAGAGAGAAAAACTGTACATGATGGGAAATGAGATTTCGGCACTCTAGATTCACACTCAACCGTCTCTGTTCAATCTCTGGACAATCAATAATCGGCTCAACGTGGACTCAATGTCTTTTTTCAGTATTTCAGGTAACAATCATCAAAGATATTGAAATCAATCAAATCAGACAAATTTGCGAACGTTGATATAAAAGTTTTCTGCTCCCCAAAAACATGTTCATTGAAATTTTACTGTGTTAGGAAAAATCTGAATAAATCGTGCAACTGCATGAAATTAATCTTGAAAATTAGGCTAATGTTGGAGAGCAGACAGTTGTGAAACTTTGACGCTTAAATGTGGCGATGGTGTAAAATCTGGAAAAATGTTCAACGTATCTATAATGTCCTATATCAAGGTTAACGATCCTACACTAAATTAACATCAAACTTATTATTAATATGATCAGCACAGATGGTTCGCCTTAAGCATCAATAAGTTTGGAACCATTCACATAGAAGTTACTTTAGAATTCATCGAAGTGAATCTACACGAGTGCTGACTGAGATGCTTCATCAAACAACAACTGCCAACCTGTTCTGCTCGGAGACCTGCTCGCTGGTATCAGTCGAATCTTTGAAGACATAATTGAATATCAATATTGTCTCTATGTAAAATTAATAATGTAACAATGGATTCAAAACAAAGTAAAGATAAGACAAATATGCTAAGTAACAACATAATAATAATATATAATGTAATAAAATAACCTACAGCCCCAGGAGTGCGCCAGCAACATCCTATCACACATATAGGACTGGAGGTAGGGGTGTGTTATGACTGTGCTTGTGAGGCTTGAAGAAATAAAAAGCATCAATACACTTGTGCCATTTTTTAATTAGAAATTGATACATGAGTAATGCATGTATTTAAACATAAATATCATCAAGAGTCTCCGTTAAGTCTCTGAAATAAAATATCAAAGTCCAATTACAGTGCAACTTTTTTCGTCCAAATTCTCGATGTCTTTGGGCAACTATGACAATGATATTATTTGAAATTTTTTGAAGGGGATCCATTTGATAGATGTCCACGTTAAAAAAATTATCGGAAAATTAAAAATTTTTTAAATAATAATTTGTCACTCAAGTTTCTCCACCCAAGACTGCAAATTACCAGGCTCATCGAACGTCTTCACACGTTTAGTGAGCATCTATAAATTCTCTTTGATGAATTCTAAAGAAGCTGCTATCAGTCCGGCGTAAACCTTATTGAGGTCTGAAGCGAACCACTCTTGTTGATCGGGTTAATCATTGATTTGATGGTAATTCAGTGCAGTGTGGTTAGCCCTCCAGTAGATAGTAGATATGTTAATTTTTTAGTTTCAACTTTCTAATCCTCTTGCCTTTCGGCTTCATGGCCACCACCGAACACCAGCAGCTTAAATTCAAAATTGTCTGCTTTCTAACATATACTTTATGATTGAGATTAATTGCATGCAGATGCGTGATTTATTTGGAAGTAGGTTCTGATGTCTATGCAATTAAAAGCATGCAATTCTTACAAGAGCTGCACTCGTAAAGTTGGCCAACTAAAATTTATGAGTTTTCTTTGATAGAAGTTTAATGAAGACCATGCATGAGTCGAGAGCTATCTGGCCAACAAATGATTACTGACTTTTAAAGTTCTTTATTCTTTGGAAGGCGATAGTTTTCGTGATAAAGATGACGCATAAGAAGCTTATTCTCTTTGTAGCCGCAACAGAGAGTTCATGCACAGCTCTGAGGCAGCGAAGCAAATACCTTCACATGCTATTTATTGGTCAATCAGTCAGTCGCTGGTTCTGGATGAACGCTCAATTACACAGCATTAGAGCGGCGCGTGTGCGTGAGTAAGACCACTACGGAACAACAGAAGCGCCAGGCCGTCGCCTAAAAAGCTCCATAAGTTGGGGCGGTGGTAATTGATTTCTGCCGAGCAAACTGGAGCTATGACGAGCGTTGGTAACGACTGTATTGCGTGAAGCGTCGTACGCACCCACTGAAATATGACAGCTCAAACCAACGCGATTCATATAGACATGATCAAACGAAGTCGTGGCTCGCAATGTTATTCGTACGGACAGTCAGGTCGGCGGCTCGATATCGCACATTTCTAGCTCGGGTGCTAAATCAAGTCCGTGTTAATGGATAAGAGGGCAATAAAAGGCAGCCTCAAACAACCCATTAAGCAGTTATCTCCTACTTTGAGGTCCAGCAATAGGTGGCGCTGCAAAAGAAGAGCGCCATTACGACCCTCTGATGGGCTCAATAGCTTAAATTCTCTTCAGGCGCCTGTATTGTTTGATCGCCAGTTAGCCTGTCGCATGCAATAGCGAGGAGGACGGAAGCTTAGGACCTCCCGGGTGTGATAACATGTCCAGACGCCGTAACTTCATACGAAGAAATTTTATGCATATTAAAAATACTCTTTTTGAAAAAAGGGCATGATTCAATTGGTACAAAATTCACCATGATTCAATGCATAGTTTTTGATGTGACTTCCGAGTAAAACTTTAATTGTTGCGTCCTCTATTTTTTATGAAAAAAAAGGTTCTTAATACAACAAAGAAAAAATTCAGAATAAAAGGCTTTTCAATATAAATCAAGAGTGTGAACAAGAGCTCGTTGGGGTCTCATAGTTAGTATTTATCTGGATACCAAAAGTCCAATAAATAAAAACTCTTGCTGCATTTGTGAACAATAAAATCGTTTGGAATCGGAACATGAACTTATAAAATGAACGCAATCACGCATAAAAAAATCAGCAAACACTCTATCCCAGTGCATTCATGTTGATAACTTCTAAACAGGTTTGCTTATTGAATTTTTAATGTTAGCCACAGCGGTGGTGACGTATATATAGCGTGACGCAAGTACAATAGTTCACGCCACACATGAAGCTGCGTGGCTCCAGCCACTTTTGAAAGAAGCAAGCGCTTCACATGTCACGACGCCAAGACCTGAAGAGTTGAGCCATTAAAAACAACGCACTTTAAACATTGCGGTGAACAGTTGAGACAATGTGTTATGCCAGGCACCGCAAGTGTCGTGAAGTGGTGCACATTACCCTGCACCGCAAGTGTCACTGTATGGTGCACATTACCGTGCGCCGCAAGAGTCACGGTGTGGTGCACATTACCGTGCGCCGCAAGTGTCACGGTGTGGTGCACATTACCTGTCTCTTATACACATCTAGATGTGTATAAGAGACAGGGCATGTATGTGTTCGGTCAGTGACAGGCATGTAGGTGTTCGGTCAGTGACAGGCATGTAGGTGTTCGGTCAGTGTGCGGCATTGGAGCCCCTGTCGCTGCGAGGGAGTCTGGTCGTAAAGTGCGGGATGCGTGACGGAGGCCTCGTTGCCGGGTGTGGTCGGAGGGACGCTGGCATGGAAGCTGAACTGCCTGCCCTCGTGGACATATGGCAGCTCCCTCAGTGTAATGTGGCTTAATGTGTCACTTAATATGTACCAGATCCTGCAGCTAATATGCAAGGGTATTTAACATAACTTGTTCATTGAACAGTACGGTACCCAGCAGAGCTTGTAAAATAGATAGAAGACCGGTGAAACGTGTAGCAAAATTTGACATCAAAAACATCTTGTTAGTCAAGTTTTGTTTAAAAATTTGAGTTACGCAGTAGCTTGGACCTAATATCTTGAAAATTGCTACTTATGCACGAAAAAAATCAGAAAATTAAAATCTCATCCTGGCTTCTTAAAAAGTATATTTTTAGCCTTATTTTTAACCAACAATTTCTATGCTGAAACATCTATTATCTAATATTTTTGCATTAAGTGTCAGATAAATTTTTACAACAATCAAATCACAACGCAGAATTAATTTAATATGTGTATGAAGGGGAATCTGATATCATTCTACAAGTTCTGAGAACGTATATATTCGTTCGTTATCGAAGCGATTCCACGCACGCTTAAAAAAATCAACTCTCGTAAAATAATCAAATAACAATGAAAAATTTAAAAATGTGGGTGATTATTGTTGTAAATTAAGTACGAAATGTATCTGTTTAAACACAAAAAAATCTGTTGGTATCGAACATTATCCGAAAAGCTCCATAATTGTTTTCTTGATGAAAGAAATTAAAATTAAATTAAATAAT